CACTTGGGGCTCGCCCACAGGCCCTGCCTGGAGGGCCTTGGACACGGGCTGAGCCTGCTGTCCGCCCTCTGGCGATGCCGTCCACGGGGAAGTCCAGAGCCGTCAGCTCAGAGTCCACCGGGGACCGAGCGGTGGCAGCCCATGTCCCCGAGCTGGGGTGGCTGGGTGTCCAGGACCACGCGCAGTCTGATTCTGAGGAGCGGGGGAGGGGGCTGGCTGTGAGGGCGCCCCCAGCACGAGGGCAGTCACCTCCAAAGAGAAGTCCACCCCAGTGTGGGCAGCGCGCACTGGAGGTGGGCGGGGCTGCGGGCTCCGGGAGGCCGGTGCAGAGCCAGGTGACGTGGCGTGGGCAGGCCCTGGGCTCTGCTCTGCTGCACCAGCAGTCCAGCTGCCGCGGCCAGGGGGCTGTGACACGGCCGCCTCCAGGTGGGTGGCCCTCTAGTTGGACAGCTGTGGTTATCGGCACATGAGCCCTGCCGTCCTGCCAGCTGTCTGGCCCTGTGCCTGCCTGCTGTCTGGGTCTCTGCGCTCCTGACTCCCTCCCACTGGGGAGAGGCCCCTGGGCTCCGGGTTCCTCTGGCAGATCTTGTGAGTCTCAGTTTACCGTCTGGTCAGTGAAGTGGCGGGGCTTTGGCAACCCTCAAGCCTAAAAGCTGTGAGTGGAATGCAGGAGCCTGCGATGGCCATTTCTAGCCTGCTCCCCATCACACTGGACGGGGGCCTGCCACACACATGAGGCTTCACCTGTGTGCACGGGGACCCTGCCACATACATGTTCGTGCAGGTGCCCCACACGTGCCACGTGTGCACACGGGGATCCTACAACACATGTACACGTGTTGTATGATGTGTGCGTGAGACCCCAACCCAGGCAGATGCATGTGAGGACCCACACATTTGCGTGACACCAGGAGCTCACACGTGTACACAGGGCCTCATCACATACGTGTCAATACAGGGCATGCGCGCACACGGGCCTCACATGGGTGTGTCCAGGGATGTCACCGCATGCGTGTTTGCAGGGCGCCATTGCACGTGCGTGTAGAGCCCCGCCACGCACATGTGTGCCCAGGGCTCCATCACACACACACAGGGGCCTCGGCACATCACACGCTCACGGGGAACCGTGTGGCCTCATCGCCTGTGGACATCGGGACTTCACCTGTGCACACAGGGACCTCGTGCGTGTGCGCTCCGTGTCTGCTGAGCCTGGACTCTGGCTTCTCAGGTTCGCCAGGCTCCACCCTGACTTGGCGGGCCACCGCCCGGAACCCTGCTTGCGCGTCTCAGAGGTGGGACCGTGGTTCTCCATGGCCTGTCCTCACAGTTGGCCTGAGCTGGGCCCTGTGTGAGGGGGGCGGGCGGCATGGCGGGGCAGGTGGACGGACAGCTGGGCACGCTTGCCCTGTTGCAGCTGTCTAGCCACCTGTCCAGCCATCTGAGTACAGGCTGCATGGGCGGGGCGGGTGTGTTGGAGCCTGTGCAGGGCCTGCCCATGCTGCCCGGCCTGACAATGAGCCCTGATGGCCCTGGAGCTGCTCTGCCTAGCCTGGTGGGGGATGGCAGGCTGGGCCAGGCTGGGGTCAGGTCCCAAGCATCACCTGGCTGCTGGGGGGTGGTGGGGTGCTGGTGCTCCTCTTGCCTGCCCTGTCTAGAGGCATCTAGGGCCCGGTGCTCTGGTGTCAGGCCTGGCTTGGGTGGCAGGAGAGGGGTGCAGACCTGATGCAGGCTGGGTGGGGTCTTGTGTTGAGGCTGGCGTCTGGAGTGTGTATCCTCTGACCTGCTCCACACCACTCCCTGGTGCCTGTCTGAGCTGGTCTGGGGGTGGCTGCCATTTCTATTTCCCAACAAGGATAGTCATTTGGGAAACAAAGCAGCGAATGCTTCAACACCACACATGGGTGTCATAGCTGGGATACATCTGGGTCAGGTTTGGACCTGGGCAGCGTGCTTCAGTCTGGCTTCTGGCCTGGGTCTCGTCTAGGCCTGGGTCTAGGCCGTGGGTTCCATCCTGTCTAGGCCTGAGTTCTGTCTAGGCCTGGGTTCTGTCTAGGCCTGGGTTCTGTCTAGGCCTGGGTTCTGTCTAGGCCTGAGTTCTGTCTAGGCCTGGGTCTTGTCTAGGCCTGGGTTCTGTCTAGGCCTGAGTTCTGTCTAGGCCTGGGTTCTGTCTAGGCCTGGGTTCTGTCTAGGCCTGGGTTCTGTCTAGGCCTGGGTCCTGTCTAGGCCTGAGTTCTGTCTAGGCCTGGGTCTTGTCTAGGCCTGAGTTCTGTCTTCGCCTGGGTCTTGTCTAGGCCTGAGTTCTGTCTAGGCCTGAGTTCTGTCTAGGCCTGGGTCCTGTCTAGGCCTGGGTCTTGTCTAGGCCTGAGTTCTGTCTAGGCCTGGGTCTTGTCTAGGCCTGAGTTCTGTCTAGGCCTGGGTCTTGTCTAGGCCTGAGTTCTGTCTAGGCCTGGGTCCTGTCTAGGCCTGAGTTCTGTCTAGGCCTGGGTCCTGTCTAGGCCTGGGTCCTGTCTAGGCCTGAGTTCTGTCTAGGCCTGGGTCTTGTCTAGGCCTGAGTTCTGTTTAGGCCTGGGTCTTGTCTAGGCCTGAGTTCTGTCTAGGCCTGGGTCTTGTCTAGGCCTGGGTCTTGTCTAGGCCTGAGTTCTGTCTAGGCCTGGGTCTTGTCTAGGCCTGAGTTCTGTCTAGGCCTGGGTCCTGTCTAGGGCTGAGTTCTGTCTAGGCCTGAGTTCTGTCTAGGCCTGGGTCCTGTCTAGGCCTGAGTTCTGTCTAGGCCTGGGTCTTGTCTAGGCCTGGGTCCCGTCTAGGGCTGAGTTCTGTCTAGGCCTGAGTTCTGTCTAGGCCTGGGTCCTGTCTAGGCCTGAGTTCTGTCTAGGCCTGGGTCTTATCTAGGCCTGGGTCCTGTCTAGGCCTTGTGTCCTGTCCAGGCCTGGGTTCTGTCTAGGCCTGAGTTCTGTCTAGGCCTGAGTCCCATCCAGGTCTGGGTCCTGTCTAGGTCTGGGTCTTGTCTAAGCCTGAGTTCTGTCTAGGCCTGGGTCTTGTCTAGGCCTGGGTCCCGTCTAGGCCTGGGTCCCGTCTAGGCCTGGGTCCCATCCAGGCCTCGATCCTGTGTACGTCTGGCTGGCTGCAGTTCACCCAGCCTCTGTGACAGGTCATGCGCCAGCCCTTGACCCAGCCAGCCTCTGTGACGGGTCATGCGCCAGCCCCTGACCCAGCCAGCCTCTGTGACGGGCCATGCGCCAGCCCCTGATCCAGCCAGCCTCTGTGACGGGTCACGCGCCAGCCCCTGACCCAGCCAGCCTCTGTGACAGGTCACGCGCCAGCCCCTGACCCAGCCAGCCTCTGGCCCTCGTTGCCCCCTCAGGCTCTTTGGGATGAGCCGCCCACCCCCACTCCAGCTGCAGGGCGGATCGGGTGGCCATGGCTGGCAGCGGGGCGGATCTGAGTGTGTCCTAGCCCCCTGTGAGGACAGGCCTCACTGCCTCTGAGCCACCTCACTCCCATGTCCCTCCTTCAGAGTCCATGAGCCAAAGTAGTTCCAGCCCCTGCAGACCGGTGTCCCAGCTGGGCCCAGCGGGGCCCTCCCCTGCCCAGCTCTTCCCAGTCTGGTTTGACTTAAGCGGGCTTGTTGGGGAGGCAGCTGAGCGGATGTGGGGGTGGCCTCCTCTCAGGAATGCAGCCTCCCCCTCCACAGCCAGCAGCCTTTTGGCTTACACACACAGCGCCCCACCCTGGCTGGCCCCAGCCCAGCCCGAGCCGGGGTGGGGCTTCTGCCTGGGCCTGGCTCCGCTGTCCTCAGGCCTGCCCTGTCCACCTTCTCGAGGCACCACGGAGGGCCCTGTGCCGAGCCCGGGTCCAGGCCCCTGACCTGGGGTGGAAGTGGAGATGGAAAGGTGGGCTGGCCACTGGGTTTAAAGGCCCGAAGGGGGTGCTAGGAGGCTGGCTGCCTGGGGGCAGGCGCCAGCTCAGGCCCTGCGCCCCTGAGACCAGCCCGGCCCAGCCAGGCGGGGCAGATGCACCCCTGAGCCCCAGCTCTAGAAGCCCCCTGGGTCCCTCTGTTAATTAAATACATTTGTTTGGTAAAAGCAACTAAAAATACTTAGGGCACTAAAGCTGCGGAGAAGAGCTGGCTAATTAGCGCCCGGCTTGTGTGGGATCTGGAATGTGTTCCCTGCCTCCAAGGCACGGCCTCTGCTGCTTCTCAGCTGGCATGTCCCTGGGGCTGGCCCTGGCCTCCTTCCCACCAGATACCTGGCCCTGGCCTCCTTCCCACCAGATACCTGGCCCTGGCCTCCTTCCCACCAGATACCTGGCCCTGGCCTCCTTCCCACAAGATACCTGGCCCTAGCCTCCCCCCCCCCAAGGAGATAACCCGGTCCCTTTTCTCTGCTGCCCTGGGCCCACTTCCCCTGCAATCCCAAGGCCACTCCCTGTCCCAAGCATGCTGCTCCCCAGCCCAGCCTGGCTCCACAGCCCCATCTGGGCTTGGGCCCGCATACTCTGCGCTCTGTGCTTGGGCACCTGGTGACGGGCGAGGAAGCAAGTGCAGGCCCCTGGGGTCCTGGGACGTGGGGGGCTGTGGGGGAGGGGCGTGGGGCTGGGGCAGAGGCCTGGGCGAGCTCCTGCAGAGGCCCCTCACCGCTGCAGAACCTGGGACGTGGGGGGCTGGAGGGGAGGGGCGTAGGGCTAGGGCAGAGGCCTGGGCGAGCTCCTGCAGAGGCCCCTCACCGCTGCAGATCCTGGGACGTGGGGGGCTCGGAGGGGAGGGGCGTAGGGCTGGGGCAGAGGCCTGGGCGAGCTCCTGCAGAGGCCCCTCACCGCTGCAGATCCTGGGACGTGGGGGGCTCGGAGGGGAGGGGCGTGGGGCTGGGGCAGAGGCCTGGGCGAGCTCCTGCAGAGGCCCCTCACCGCTGCAGATCCTGGGACGTGGGGGGCTCGGAGGGGAGGGGCGTGGGGCTGGGGCAGAGGCCTGGGCGAGCTCCTGCAGAGGCCCCTCACCGCTGCAGATCCTGGTGGACCCTGACAAGCCGGGCAGCCCGCCGGCCCTGGCCTACGAGAGCGTGGTGGCCCAGGAGGGCAGCCCCATCCTGCGTGACCTCGTCCTCAGCCCCAGCCGCCAGCACCTGTACGCCATGACAGAAAAACAGGTGGGTGGCGGGGGCTGGCCGTGGCAGGCAGGCTGGCGGGAGGCCGGTGGGGGACCTGCCGGGGAATTGGGTCACTAGGAAGCCGGGTCGGCGTCCAATGTGAGCCGAGGCTGCTCTTCCCACCAGGGCTGCCCGTTGGCTGGTGGACGTGGTTTGTCCACCAGCAGACACAGTGTGCAAGGGCCTGTTGGAACAGGTGTGGGCCAAGCGGCGGCGGGTGGGGTGAGGTCCTCCCTCCACCACTGCCGCGCCCTCCCCACATGACTTTCAGAGTCCCAGAAGCCAGTGCTTGACTGAGCAGGGTCAGACAGGGTCCGCATGGGGCCACCTGGCCAGCTTGGTCGGGGGTCTGGCCCTTCCCTTCAGAGCTGTGGGCTTTCCCTGCTGGCCTCCCCTGCTTGGAGTCTGCCTCGGCCCTTCTGTACAAACGTTGGTGCTGTGATAGATGGCGAGGGTGGCTGGGCCCGGGACCCAGATGCCCCGTTCCTCCCCAGGTGACGCGGGTGCCGGTGGAGAGCTGCGTGCAGTACTCCTCGTGTGAGCTGTGCCTGGGGTCTCGGGACCCGCACTGCGGCTGGTGTGTCCTACACAGTGTGTGAGTAGGGGTGTCCGGGGCGGGCACGCCGGCTGCTCCGGGTCTCGCTTGGCTGCTGAGCCGGATGTGGGAGGAGGGTGGAGGCTGGTGGTGAGTGCGGCCCTGCCCCGCAGCTGCTCCAGGAAGGACGCCTGTGAGCGGGCGGACGAGCCCCACCGCTTTGCCTCCAGCCTGCTGCAGTGCGTGGTGCTGACCGTGCAGCCGCGCAATGTGTCCGTCACCATGTCTCAGGTGCCGGTGAGTCTCGCTGCGGGGGTCGACGGGCGGGGGGGGGGGTCACAGGCAGCACTCACACAGGTGTGTGTGGCCCAGCTTATGCTGCAGGCCTGGAATGTGCCCGACCTCTCGGCTGGGGTCAACTGCTCCTTCGAGGACTTCACTGAGTCGGAGAGCATCGTCCAGGATGGCCACGTCTACTGCCGCTCGCCCTCCGCCCAGGAGGTGGCGCCCATCACGAGGGGCCAGGGTGAGTGGGCCTGGCCGAAGCAGACAGGCATGGGGGACAGTGCTGGCCGTCGCCCACTCAGAGCCCGCGCGGGGGTAGGCACAGGGTAGGCAGGAGGAGGGAGTTGCAGGGGCAAAAGCTTGTGTTGCAGAGCTGAGGGTCAGGGCATTGGGGTCAGAGGTCAGAGGGGAACACTGGCTGGGTGTGAAGCTGGGGGGAGTTGGAGGGCAGAGCCCCTCCCCAGCGGCCAGCCCCTAGGTCCGGCTGTGCTGTCCCCCACTTTCGGCCTCCTGGCGTCCCGAATCCAGGCCTAGCTCTGGGGTGGAGTGGGGTCCTGGGCTCTGTGGCCTGCAGCCTCATGCCCTGCCTGCTGCCTGCAGGAGACCAGCGGGTGGTGAAGCTCTACCTGAAGTCCAAGGAGACGGGGAAGAAGTTCGCGTCTGTAGACTTCGTCTTCTACAACTGCAGCGTCCACCAGGCGTGAGTGCCCTGCCACTGTCCTCCCGCCCCCCCGCGGACACCTCTGCAGGTGCCCCCCCCCCCCCGCGGACACCTCTGCAGGTGCCCCCCCCCCCGCGGACACCTCTGCAGGTGCCCCCCGTCCCCCCCCCCCCGCGGACACCTCTGCAGGTGCCCCCCGTCCCCCCCCCCCCGCGGACACCTCTGCAGGTGCCCCCCGTCCCCCGCGGACACCTCTGCAGGTGCCCCCCGCCCCGTCCCCCGCGGACACCTCTGCAGGTGCCCCCCGTCCCCCCCCCCCCGCGGACACCTCTGCAGGTGCCCCCCGTCCCCCCCCCCCCGCGGACACCTCTGCAGGTGCCCCCCCCCCCGCGGACACCTCTGCAGGTGCCCCCCGTCCCCCGCGGACACCTCTGCAGGTGCCCCCCGTCCCCCGCGGACACCTCTGCAGGTGCCCCCCGTCCCCCGCGGACACCTCTGCAGGTGCCCCCCGTCCCCCGCGGACACCTCTGCAGGTGCCCCCCGTCCCCCGCGACACCTCTGCAGGTGCCCCCCCCCCCCGCGGACACCTCTGCAGGTGCCCCCCGTCCCCCGCGGACACCTCTGCAGGTGCCCCCCGTCCCCCGCGACACCTCTGCAGGTGCCCCCCCCCCCCGCGGACACCTCTGCAGGTGCCCCCCGTCCCCCGCGGACACCTCTGCAGGTGCCACCCCCCCGCGGACACCTCTGCAGGTGCCCCCCGTCCCCCGCGGACACCTCTGCAGGTGCCCCCCCGTCCCCCGCGGACACCTCTGCAGGTGCCCCCCGTCCCCCGCGACACCTCTGCAGGTGCCCCCCGTCCCCCGCGGACACCTCTGCAGGTGCCCCCCCCCCCCCGCGGACACCTCTGCAGGTGCCCCCCGCCCCGTCCCCCGCGGACACCTCTGCAGGTGCCCCCCGCCCCGTCCCCCGCGGGCACCTCTGCAGGTGCCCCCCCGCCTCCCCCCCCCCCCCCCCCCCCGCTCCCTGGACTCCTCACACTCGGCCTCCCTCTGGGCCAGGAGGAGCAAGAGGCTGCTGGGAGAGCTGCGAGGAGCCCGTGGTGCCAGCATGGCCGCATGCTGGAGGGAGGCTGAGGCCTGGCCCCAGGGGCACGCTGGTGGGCAGCAGGCAGAGCGGTGTGGAGCCAGCTCTGCAGGGCTGCGGTCACCAGGGGTGGGTGGAGAGGTGCGACAGAGCCTAGGCAGCTGCAGGGCTGAGTGAGGGCATGGCTGAGGAGATGGACACTGGGTGATGTCACTGGGGATGGCCGGTGGTCTCTGGTACCAGAGGGCCCAGGTCCTGCAAGAGCCCTGGCCACTTGGTGCCTGCTGCCTCTGAGCCCAGCTGTTGCTGGACCACAGCACATCTGGGGGAAAGGCTTCTGAACCTCTGAGGCTCAAGTCTGCTGTACCTCAGCCCGCCGTGAGCGCCCTCAGGGTTGGGAGCCCCTGACAGAAGGCAGAGTTCTTCCTGCCTCAGAGATGGGAGGTGACGTGGCTCTGCAGCGGACAGCCTGGAAGGCTGCGATAGCCGGCCCTTTACAGAGCGCGCGCGCTCCGGCCAGGTGGGCTTGACAGGTGGGAGTGTGTGTGGCCCGAGGTGCTGGCCCGGTGCTGTGCGAGCTGCCTGCCATCTGAACTTGCACTGAGAGGAGGGCGAGCACAGCTCCTGGCCCGTGCGAGCTCCTTTTCTGTGCTCGGGCCACCACACTGGCTGGCCCTGGGGTGGACTGTTGGTGACCAGCACTACAGAGAACGAAAGCGGTGAAGAGGAGGGAAAGGCCGAGAGGAGACGGCACAAGCTCCTCCAGGCCTCTCAGTAGGCGGCGGCCCGGGGAACCCGCAGCCGGACGGCCAGTGTGGAGGCCCGGGGAACCCGCAGCTGGATGGCCAGTGTGGAGGCCCGGGGAACCCGCAGCCGGGCGGCCAGTGTGGAGACCTGGCTGGACAGCCAGTGTGGAGACCTGGCGCTGGGAAGCCCGTGTGGAGGCCTGGCCGGGCGGGCAGTGTGGAGGCCTGGCCGGGCGGCCAGTGTGGAGGCCTGGCCGGGCGGGCAGTGTGGAGGCCCGGCCGGGCGGCCAGTGTGGAGGCCTGGCACTGGGCGGCCAGTGTGGAGGCCTGGCCGGGCGGCCAGTGTGGAGGCCTGGCCGGGCGGGGAGTGTGGAGGCCCGGCCGGGCAGCCAGTGTGGAGGCCTGGCCGGGCGGCCAGTGTGGAGGCCTGGCGCTGGGCGGCCAGTGTGGAGGCCCGGCCGGGCGGCCAGTGTGGAGGCCTGGCGCTGGGCGGCCAGTGTGGAGGCCCGGCCGGGCGGGCAGTGTGGAGGCCCGGCCGGGTGGGCAGTGTGGAGGCCTGGCGCTGGGCGGCCAGTGTGGAGGCCTGGCGCTAGGCGGCCAGTGTGGAGGCCCGGCCGGGTGGGCAGTGTGGAGGCCTGGCGCTGGGCGGCCAGTGTGGAGGCCTGGCGCTAGGCGGCCAGTGTGGAGGCCTGGCCGGGTGGCCAGGCTGCATGTGTGGGGCGGGCCGAGGGATGTGGGACGCTGTCCTCAGACTCAGCCGTGCCCTCTCCTTGCAGCTGCCTGGCTTGTGTCAACGGCTCCTTCCCCTGCCACTGGTGCAAATACCGCCACGTGTGCACCAATAACGCTGCTGACTGCGCCTTTTTGGAGGGCCGTGTCAACGTTTCTGAGGTACGGCAGTGGGGCGGGGCTCAGGTTCAGAGGCCGAGGCGTCGGCAAGCGCCTGCCTGCCAGCCTGTGCTGGCCAGCTGGTCCGCCTGCCGGGATGCTGGACACCTGGCCCAGGGTCAGGGTGGGTGCAGCCCCCGGACATCTCAGCCCGAGGCCCCGCCAAGCCAGGGTGGAGTACCCAAGTTTTTAGGAGATGTCTCCACAAGGCCCTGCCCCTGGGCCTCTGTCTGGGGGTGCCTGGGGGTGACTGTCGGGGCACAGCAAAGAGGCCTGCGCGGCAGGGACCTCAGGTGTGGGGGTATGGTGTAGTGGGGTGCGTGGCAGGCTGAGTCCTGGGAGACAAGAAGGAACTGGCTGGATTCACTGGTGCAGGGCTGGTGCAGGGCTGGTGGGCTCTGGAGTCGTCTGAAGTGCTGCGTGGTAATTGCTAGTAATTAGGTGGTAATTATTTTGAAGCCTGGGCAAGGCAGACTGTGTTTATGAGCAGCAGGCTGCTCTGCCGAGAGCCTCGGTTGTCCGCGTCAGGACTGACCGGGCACCGTGTGGATGGGAAGCACAGGCGGGCTCCATGGCACCCTGTGGTGTGAAGCCTAGACTTGCAGCCAGCACCCTTCCCCTCCCTGTGGCCGCCACTCTGTTGTCCCAGAGGGGAGGGGTGGCCTGTGGGGCCTGACTGCTGGTGGGCCTCGAAGCGAGGGCGGGAAGTGGGCCTCTGGGATGCCGAGGGCCTCGCTCTCCGCCGGTGCCCTTCCCTCTAAGCCCCCCCCCACCACGGGCACTGTCCCCTTCTGTGCTTGTGAGAGCCAGGTGGCCGCAGAGGCCGGCCCGGGGCGTGGGTCTGTGACCCTGTGGAGGCCACGGGTGTCCGGGCAGGGCTGGGAGCAGGCGGGGGCTCCGGGGTTAAGGACGCCGGGTCTTCTCCCATACGGGTCTTTGCCTTTTGCCCCATCAGCCCCAGGGCAGCCGAACACACTGTCCCTTGGAGTCGCCGGGGTGTCCGCAGGTGGGGCCGCGTGGGTACCCGGGTCTGGGGAGGGCAGCGGAGCGGGCGGTTTGGAGCACGGGGCTGGGGGCTCGGGAAGGGATTCTTTTTCCTTGGCTGTAGCCTGGGCTTGTTGGTGAGGAGTGCTGTATGTCCGCAGACTTGGGTAGAGTGCATGTGGATGAGTAGCACTCTGCTTCCCATTCCTGGTTTGGGGTCCTCACACAGCAGACTGCCAGAGCCCCAGCGCTTTCCGTGCTGGAGCCTAGCTCCCAGGTAGGCAGGGCCTTCCTGTCCAGCCTCTGCTCTCAGACACGGAGGAAGGGCCTCCCAAGGCCTCCCTAGCCCCTGCCTGGGCCCTCAGACCTGCCCGAGTTTGGTGCCGGGGCCACGAGCGGGAGGTGGCAGCCGTGGTGGCACTGGGCACTGGGCTCGGGGCTTGGAGGAGCCCACCTGGGCCGGCGCTCCCAGAGGTGGGTTTTCTGGCCTTTCTGGAGAAGTGGGAAGTATGGCTGGCATTTTCCTAGAGAACTGGTCAGCTTCCTGCCCACAGGTGCCCTAGGAGACTCCAGGTTCTGGTTTGTCACACCTGCCGGGCCCTGGGACAGACGAGTCCCGGAGAGCGCAGCGGGCCTAAGGACAGTGTGGTGAGGAGAAGCCCCATGTGGGAGATCACTGCCCTACAGGCTCCGGCCTCTGCCCAGCACCAGCTTTCAAAGTCCAAAACTTTGGTTCTGTGGAGGTTCTGTCCTGGTTGGTGCTCAGGACTTGTTATTGCTGGGCAAGTGTTTTACCACCTGAGCCCTAGCTCAAATGTTCATTTTCTCAAATTAAGTACATTCACTTTTGCCTGGCCCTTCCCTCCCAGCACTGGGTTTGAACTCAGGACTTTGTGCTTCTCTGGCTTTCCTGCTTGAGGGCTCCACTGGTACTTTACCACTTGAGCCACACTGCTAAACCTGATTTAGCAGTTTCCTGCTGGTTATTTTGTAGTCTAGTGGACTTTTATTTATTACCCAGGCTGGCCTTGAACTATATACCTCTGCATCTCAGCTTCTGAGCAGCGAGGATTACAGATGTGAGCTTTTAGAACTGGCTTACCTTGCCTTTTAGGACACCATTGACTGTTTGTTTGGTTGGTAGTCAGGCTTGAATTCAGGACCTGGGTGCTGTCCTTGAGTTCTTAAGGCTAGAGCTCTACCACTTAAGCCACAGTACCACTTCCGGTTTTCTAGTGGTTTATTGGAGATGAGAGTTTCACAGACTTTCCTGCCCGGATGGCTTGAGCTGCGATCCTCAGTTCTCAGCCTCCTGAGTAGCTAGGATGACAGGTGTGAGCCACCAGCACCTGGCACTGTTTACTTTTTGAGAGGCAAATTCTTCATAAAATGACAGATTGGGACATAGCAGATGGCAGTGGTTGAGGCCCTCAGGTGACGCTGGTGCTGGCTGAGGGCTGCGCTCTGCTGTGTACTATACACACAGGAGTTCATTTTTTTAAATTTGTAGACCATAGTTAAAGCTTTGCTTAGAAATACCATGCATAAGGCAGGCCCGCTGTAGACGGGCAGCCTTCCAAATTTTGACTCTGTGTAGAGCTCTGGGTCACAGGAATGAAGTGCTAGCCTGGGTCGTGAAGGACCTCCTTCCCTCCACCATTTTCCAGCTGTGAGCCGGGACCTCACCAGCCCCGTGCAATCCTCCCCAGCTGGGAGCCGGGTCCCAGGGGCCTCAGGTCCAGCCCACGCCCTCACGCGCTCAGTGAGTGCCCTTCTCCAGCCTTCCCCAGGGCTCTGCAGCCTCTTCCTAGGTGGCTGCTGGAGACAAGGACCTGCCGCCAGGCCTTCTTCCTGTCGGATTGAAGTCATTACCATGTCCCCTCCTCAGCGCAGTCTGCAGTGCGGGTCTCCTGAGATGGGTGTCTGTGTGCCCTCTGGGTGTGGAGAGCGGATGGGGGAGGGGAGTGAGGTGTGGGGGCACCTGGGAGGCGCAGGCGTGGCTGCTAACCTGGTGTGGCGGCAGCAGGCTCGGTAGCAGGTCGGCTTAGTGCTTGGGAGGGTGGAGGGTGAGGTGTGGGAGCGGGGCAGGGTGTTGGGATAGGCGAGGGGGCCGGCGGGGTGGCCCCCGTCTGTGCTGGGATTGGGCCTGGGGCCCCAGGACCTCCCCCGTCCGTGCTGGGATTGGGCTGGGGGCCCCAGGACCTCCCCTGGTTGCCTGTGGTGTCTCCTGGCTGGCGTGATGGGAGGGGAGCCGCACAGCTTGAGCAGCTCCTCCAGGCTAAAGGGCAGGTTGGGTTTGGACCCAAGTCCATCCTCCTCTTCAGTGGGGACCTGAGGTGCTAGGGCCCGTGATGGGGCCATCATGGGACAGGCTTGGGGTGTGGCAGGGAATAGCTGGAGATAGGGCCAGGGTCTCCAGGGCTGTGGCTTGAGCATCCTTCAGTGCAGCACCTAGCGGGGCCTCTGGCCAGTGGACGAGAGAGCGTTCCTCGTGAGTGGCCAGCTCGCTTAGCCAGCCGTGTGATGGGGGTCTGCTCACCCACCGGCCCTGCAGCGTGTGGTTACCTAGGTGGCTGGGTGGTGAGTGGTCCGCTCACTTAGATGGCCTTTCCAGCCCTGTTCCCTAGGGGCCTCGAGGGCCGAGTCAGGGTCCAAGGCCCCGTGGAGCCCCACAGAACTGCCCTGGACCCACGCCCACAGGGCAGCCGCGAGCGGGCCTGGGGACTCGGGCTGCTTCCAGCCTCCCTATTTAAAGCCGCCCAGGCTCCCGCAGGCCGCTCCCCAGGGACCCGCCAGCGGTGCTGCAAGGCAGCCCGGCCAGGCTCCCGCAGGCCGCTCCCCAGGACCCGCCAGCGGTGCTGCAAGGCAGCCCGGCATTGCATCAGCTATTGGTGCGGAGCGCTGCGGGCCCAGGGGGCCCTGGCTGTTTTTCTGCCGGCTCCAGCTATTTTTACATGCTCCCCAGGTCCCCAGCTGAGAGTCGGCGGCTCCAGCACCCCGCTCTTGGCTCCTGCCTCCTGCCTCAAGGGCCTGTGCAGCTGTAGGCCAGATGGGGCCCTGCGGCCTCTGGACTGCCGGGGCCTAGGACATGGAGCCAAGGCGCACAACCCGCTGGGTGTGCAGCCTCCGCCTGCCAGAGAGCAACGCCGAGGACACGGTGCTTTTGGTCCTCAGATCACCCACGGCGGGCCCCGGCAGTGGCACGCACGAGCCTGGCTCACTCGTTGTGTTTCCCCAGGACTGCCCCCAGATCCTGCCCTCCACGCAGATCTACGTGCCAGTGGGCGTGGTGAAGCCCATCACCCTGGCTGCCCGGAACCTGCCACAGCCGCAGTCAGGCCAGCGTGGCTACGAGTGCCTTTTCCACATCCCCGGCAGCCCTGCCCGGGTGACCGCGCTGCGCTTCAACAGCTCCAGTCTGCAGTGCCAGAATTCCTCGGTGAGGCGGGGGGGGGGGGGGGGGGGGGAGGAGGCTGATGTGGCGCCCAGTCCCCTCACCGCCCAGCCTCCCGTGCCGCGCACACACTCAAGCACGATGTGACCGCCACCCTCACCCCTCAGGTGTAGGGACATTCCGGGCCTCGGGCTCCAGGGTGGGCCGTGTCCGTGGGGACGGCCAGGGCAGGGCACGGGGCCTGGGGCTGTGGCCAGCGGTGGAGACGCTCACTCAGGCAGCGCTGGCGCATGCGAGCGGTCTGGGATGCATGCTGTGACAAGGACCGCTGAAAAGGCTCCATTAGCGAGTAGCCGGGGGCATCTTAGGACGCGATCTGGGTGCTCAGGGAAGGGGAGCCTCCTCCAAGGCCCGGCTCAGGTTGCACTCTTCTCTGGCTCCAGAGTTTCTCCATTTGTTCAGTCAGGAGTGTGGTGCATCTCCAAGGCTGGCCTTGGGTCCTACTGTGTGAACAGGAGGCTCAGGCCAGGGCCTCGGCAGCCCAGGGAGGGTCTGATCACGTTGGTCTGGCCTCGCTAGCCCTTTGGCCGTCTGGGCCGTCCTTGTGGGGTGGGAGCCTGGGGGTCAGGACCGGCTTCAGGGGCGGGCGGGTTGCAGACTGCTCCTTGCATGGTGGCTGTGCTGTTTCCGCTTGCCCTGGTGCTCTGTGCCCTGAGAACCCTCCGGAGCTGCCTGTGTCTTCCACTCCCCAGGCTCCAGGCCCCCTCCTCTCCAGGTCCACGTTTAGCAGGAAGCGGGAGTGTTAGGGAATGTCTTGGAGCTAAGGTTACGTTGGGTGGTTGTGCTACCCTTGAAGATGCCAGGCTTGCTCCCTGCAGCCAGGCAGAGGGATGGAGTAGAGTCATCAATGCTGGAAAGTGGGGCAGAGCTGGACCCCCAGGCCCCGTCTCCTGGGAGGCGCTGTGGCCTTGAGCTCAGGCTACCTGGGAGGTGCTGCAGGGCATAAGCACCAGGCTTCAGGGTAGCCCTGTGCACTCAGCACTCAGATGCTGAGTTGGAAGTACCCCTGCTGCTGTTTAGAGGGCTGGCTGGGGCCCTGGTTTCCCAGAAAGGCTGGCTCTCCCAGAAGGTCCCAGGGAGGAGTGAGCTCACTCCGGAGGGGTCTGCCTGGCTGCAAGAGGGGGCGGGTCTATGTGACAGGTGGGGCAGGGGCGCCGGCCAGATGTGTGACAGTCACTGACCACCTGGGCTTGGGCTTTAAGTGGGAAGCCCAGCAGTGGCCATTCTTGGGGAGAGAGGCTCGCAGGCCCCAGCTGGCAGGCCTGATTCTGTGTGGCCTGGCTGTGGGAGCTGGCAGCCAATGGCTGACTGCTGTGTCCGTGCCCACAGTACTCCTATGAAGGCAACGACGTCAGCGACCTGCCTGTGAATCTGTCGGTGGTGTGGAATGGCAACTTCGTCATCGACAACCCCCAGAACATCCAGGGTGAGCAGCAGGCCCAGGCTGCCGGGCGGGTGGGGCGGGGCAGGGCGGGGACCGTGCTGACCAGGCCTCCCCCTCCACCCCCCCCCCCGCAGCCCACCTCTACAAGTGCCCAGCCCTGCGCCAGAGCTGCGGCCTCTGCCTCAAGGCCGACCCGCGCTTCGAGTGCGGCTGGTGTGTGGCCGAGCGCCGCTGCTCCCTGCGCCACCACTGCCCCGCTGAGGCGCCTGCTGCCTGGATGCACGCCCGGCACGGGAGCAGCCGCTGTGCAGACCCCAAGATTCTCAAGGTAGGCCGGAGGCCTGGCCTGGCCGAGCCCGGCGTGGGGGGCCCGGCCTGCTGGTGCCCCAGCCTCTGCCTTCCCACAGCTGTTTCCAGAGACAGGCCCCCGACAGGGAGGGACGAGGCTCACCATCACCGGGGAGAACCTGGGCCTTCGGTTTGAAGACGTGCGTCTGGGCGTGCGTGTGGGCAAGGTGCTGTGCAGCCCCGTGGAGAGCCAGTACATCAGTGCTGAGCAGTGAGTGCGCCCCAGGACTAGGGGTGGGGCTGCCAGGCAGGGCGCAGCCCTGTGGAGGGCGGTACGCCAGTGCTCAGGACCGGGTGGCAGGCAGGGCGCAGCCCTGTGGAGGGCGGTACACCAGTGCTCAGGACCAGGCGGCAGGCAGGGCACAGCCCTGTGCAGAGCCATACGCCAGTGCTCAGGACTGGGTGGCAGGCAGGGCGCAGCCCTGTGCAGAGACATACACCACTGCTCACAACTGGGTGGCAGGCAGGGCGCAGCCCTGTGGAGGGCGGTACGCCAGTGCTCAGGATTGGGTGGCAGGCAGGGCGCAGCCCTGTGGAGGGCGGTACGCCAGTGCTCAGGATTGGGTGGCAGGCAGGGCGCAGCCCTGTGGAGGGCGGTACGCCAGTGCTCAGGATTGGGTGGCAGGCAGGGCGCAGCCCTGTGGAGGGCGGTACGCCAGTGCTCGGGATTGGGTGGCAGGCAGGGCGCAGCCCTGTGGAGGGCGGTACGCCAGTGCTCGGGACTGGGTGGCAGGCAGGGCGCAGCCCTGTGGAGGGCGGTACGCCAGTGCTCGGGATTGGGTGGCAGGCAGGGCACAGCCCTGTGCAGAGCCGTACGGCAGTGCTCAGGACAGGGTGGCAGGCAGGGCGCAGCCCTGTGGAGGGCGGTACGCCAGTGCTCGGGATTGGGTGGCAGGCAGGGCGCAGCCCTGTGGAGGGCGGTACGGCAGTGCTCAGGACCGGGCGGCCAGGTGGGGGTGGAGAGATGGTGCAGCCAGGGCAGCTGCTGCCCCCGCCTGCAGGATTGTGTGTGAGATCGGGGACGCCAGCACAGTGCGGGCCCATGACGCCCTGGTGGAGGTGTGCGTGCGGGACTGCTCGCCCCACTACCGGGCTCTGTCACCGAAGCGCTTCACGTTTGTGGTAAGTGCCGCCCGCTGTCCCCTCTGCCTGGGAAGGTGGTCCGGGTGGGAGACCTCAGGTCTGGGTGCAGGGGCTTCGGGCCACCGCGTTGGGCTCCCCGTGCTCCCCTCCTGGCTGAGGCCAGCACCAGATGTCCTGTGCCATCTGCCCCTTTCCCTGAGCTGTCCCGCACCAGGGGCATGGGGCAGAGCCTGCGCCTGGGACTCCTGGTCTGGGGACAGAGCTGTGGGCTAGCGTCCTCATAACAAGTCTCTTCCGGCAGACTCCAACCTTCTACCGCGTGAGCCCCTCCCGCGGGCCTCTGTCGGGAGGCACCTGGATCGGCATCGAGGGCAGCCACCTGAACGCAGGCAGCGACGTGGCCGTGTCCATTGGGGGCCGGCCCTGTTCCTTCTCCTGGTACGCGGGGCAGGGGCGGCAGGGCCAGGGCATGGCCGCACACGCGCATGTGCACACGCACACGCACACATGCACACACACACTGTACCCACTGGTGGTCCTGTCAGGACTATCCCTGGCTGTGTCCCCTCCTGTTGCCTGGGAAACGGGTATGGAGAACCTGGCTGGGGTGATCACTATGGAAACTCAAGAGGCAGAGGTTACCATGGAGACGGGGACTGCCTCCATGGTAGAAATGAGGAGGGCGGGGCCTGCCGTCCAGGGGTGGGGGGTGGGGGAGGGGACGGGACTCCCTGGAGAACAAAATAAGAAATATTCTTTCTAAAAAAATTTTTTTTAGAGAAAACAGACATCTTAACAAAAGCTTTGAGGCCTGAAGTGGATAATTTTAGATTAGGGAGATAATGGAACGGCCCTTTAAATATTTTCCTGTGGTAATTACCCGTTATCAGCCTGATCATTGGTATTTGCAGCTGAGCCAGGCCCGGCAGCTCTGGGCGTCCAGGCTGTAGTTAGAGGTGGGGGGAGAGTCTGGGAGAGCAGGCCTTGGCTGCCAGCTCCCATAAAGGTGACCGCCTGGCCCTGAACCCCAGCCCAGTCCACCCTGGTGTACAAAGAGGAAGCAGTGTTGGCCTTGCTGGCCTCCCGAGCTGTGGGTGAGCCGCTGCTGGCCCTGCGGCGGGGCACAGGCCCGCTGTGGGTGAGCGGCTCGGGCCTCCGGGGCCCAGGCAGACTTAACGCCTGCCTAGTGCTGAGGAGGAGGCAGAGGTGGCGCACAGAGCCTGGCCAGGGTCTCCTGAGGAGAGAGACAAAGACCAGGCCCTTCCTACTCTAAAGTGGAGCCCATAAGGAATGCAGCCAAGGATGGAGGTCCAGTCAGGGGCCTGGGGAGAGGCCCACATGCCAGGCCAGGCCTGAGGTCCAGTCGGGGGCCTGGGATAGGCCCACATCCAGGCCAGGCCTGAGGGGGAGGCAGGGAGGTCAGCCTGGCCAAGGATAGGGCCGAAGCCTCCGGCACAGGTAGTCGCCCGCGGGCAGATGGTGCCGCGTGAGGCTGCGTGGCTCGCCGTGGAGCCACGTCCTGCGCACCCTGCTCGCCTGCCCCAGGGGCGCCGGTGCCCGGGGAGGCCCTCACATGTGCTCGGCCCCCAGGAGGAACTCTCGGGAGATCCGCTGCCTGACGCCACCAGGGCAGAGTCCGGGCAGCGCTCCCATTGTCATCAACATTAACCGTGCCCAGCTGGCCAACCCCGAGGTGAAGTACAACTACACCGAGGACCCCACCATCCTGAGGATCGACCCTGAGTGGAGCATCAACAGGTGAGGGCCACCTCCACCGCCGCGGCCGCCGTGGCGGTCTCGGGGTGCCCTGTGCCGAGCCCCAGCCCCCCCTGCCGCCTTGGGACAGTTCTGCTAGTGGGGCTGGGGTGGCTCCTGTGCCCTCCGGCCCAGCAGCCCACTGACCCCCGCTCACTCCTCTAGTGGTGGGACCCTGCTGACGGTCACGGGCACCAATCTGGCCACCGTCCGTGAACCCCGGATCCGGGCCAAGTATGGAGGTGTTGAGAGGGAGAATGTAAGTCCGTGCCCTCTGCCCCCTGCTCTGCTCAGCCCTGCTGTCTACCTGGGTCTCTGTCTCCCTACGGTGCCAGTCCTGGCCTACCCGGCAGGTCTGTTCTCCCACTGTGGGGTGGATTTCAGGGAGGTGCCCGGCCGGCGCCCGCGCAGCCATCCCCGGGGCAGGGCTCTGTCTCGCGAGCTCCGGGGGCGGGGGGGGGGGGGCGCTGCGGGGCTCTGTGAGTCCGGCCCAGCACCCTGCCGTCTGTCGCAGAGCTGCATGGTGTACAATGACACCACCATGGTGTGCCGGGCCCCATCTGTGGACAACCCCACGCGCAGCCCGCCCGAGCTGGGGGAGCGGCCGGACGAGCTGGGCTTCGTCATGGACAACGTGCGCGCCCTGCTCGTGCTCAACTCTTCCTCCTTCCTCTACTACCCCGACCCGGTGCTAGAGCCGCTCAGCCCCACCGGCCTCCTGGAGCTCAAGCCCAGCTCTCCCCTCATCCTCAAGGTGGGTCCCGGCCGGGGCAGGTGGGGAAGCAGGCCGGGCGGGGAGACCTGGACCGGCCCTCAGCTCATCTGCACCCCGTGCAGGGTCGGAACCTGCTGCCACCGGCACCTGGCAACTCCCGGCTCAACTACACGGTGCTCATTGGCTCTACCCCGTGTGTCCTCACTGTGTCGGAGACGCAGCTGCTGTGCGAGTCGCCCAACCTCACGGGACAGCACAAGGTCACGGTGCGTGCCTGGTCCACACCCACCTGGGGGCAGAGCCCAGGAGACTCCGGTGCCCTGCTCCGCTCCAGCCTGGCCTGCCCAACCACCAGCTCCTCTCCAGACCTTCAGCCCCCCGCCCCACGGCCCCTGCCCCCCCTTTCTGCCCCGTGGGTGCCCCGATGCCTACAAGCGGGCTGTACAGTGGGCTCCGGCGCCCAGTGAGTGCGGCTCCTGATGCGCTGTGCCCGCCCGGCAGGTGCGAGCAGGCGGCTTTGAGTTCTCCCCCGGGATGCTGCAGATGTACTCAGACAGCCTGCTCACGCTGCCCGCCATTGTGGGCATCGGCGGGGGCGGGGGCCTCCTGCTGCTGGTCATCGTGGCCGTCCTGATCGCCTACAAGCGCAAGTCTCGCGATGCCGACCGCACCCTCAAGCGGCTGCAGCTGCAGATGGACAACCTGGAGTCCCGAGTGGCACTCGAGTGCAAGGAAGGTGTGTGGGGTCCGGCAGGGTGCTCCGCCCCCGCCCCCTCTCCCTGCCCCTTCCCTCCCCGCCTCCGTCCCCCGCCCCCCGCGGCCCCCCCCGCTGAGGCTCAGCGCCCATGCTCCCTGAGCGCTGTCACGTGCCAGGGGTGGCGGACACCTGTTGAGGTCTGCAGAACTAGGCGAGACTCACAGCCTAGCCCGTTGTGAGATGGGATCGGTAGCTCAGTCCCTGTCTGCAGAATGGGCGGAGGCCACATTCCTGGGTGACAGGCCGTGGAGTAGGTTCCATGGTGGCTGGAGCACTCCGATGGCCGCACTGGGTCCCCTGCCTCCCCATTCTCAGGCTTGAGCTCTTGGCAGCCCCAGCCTAACGGGGGGATACCCCAAGGGCAGGTGGAGACAGGGCCCAGAGACTGGGGTGGGCTCTGGGCAGCCAAGACACAGGTGTACAGGCCGTGGACTTGAGTGCTGAGCAGTAGCGGAGAGTGGAGCCAGGAGCCAGGGCTCCCTGAGTGTGCCAGCACGCGCCGCCACCCCCAGCCGCTCAGCTCCTCAGAGGCGTCGCATGCTAGGGTTGCTAGTCCCTGCCCAAAAGCTCAGGAGTCTCCTGACTCCATTCTGTGCCCCAGGGCTGTGGATCTCCTGGACTCCAGTCCATGCCCCGGGGCTGTGGGGTACGGATGGCTGGGGTGCTGGGTAGGCAGGAGTTAGGCGGTGTAGCCAACGGGGAGGCGGGCGGCCTAGGACAGAGGCCCGGGTGGCACAGCACCCATGGGCCGTTAGGATGGGGCCGCTCCTGGATTTGTGTCAGGCTGGAGGCAGCGGACAGTCAGTGGGCGTCAGGCTGGCCCTGGGTGGTGTGGCGAGGCCTTAGGCTGGGCCTGGGTGCTGTGGGTCCACGGCTCGTGGCCTGCCCCTGCTGGGCGCCTCTCAGCCCAGCAGAGGAGGCGGTGGGAGGCAGACTGTGAGGCCTGTGAGAAGCAGATGTCCTGTAAGCTTACAGAACAGCGCCACGGCTGGCATTTACCGGGTTAACAGCCGGGGGCTTGGGGGCAGGGGCACGGGCGAGGTGCTCCCGTGGGCTGTGTGGAGTTGGGGGCTCAGGGCCTGTTGTACTTAGGATGTCCCTTAGTCCTGGTCAGACCCGAATATCTAGTGGTGATTCAGGGCCAGGTGCAGCGGTCCTGTGCACGTGACAGGTGTCTGCCTGGGGCTGGGAGCGCGGGGAGCCCCTGCGGCTGCTGGCCGGGACGTCTGCTGCCCACATCCCTTCTGGGGGTGGGGGGGCCAGCGCCTACCCCGTACGTGTTTCCCCCTCATGGCTGTGGTCAAAGCAGGAGGCACAGCCCACCATCATCTCTGCTCTGGTCTGGATGACAGCCGGGTGAGGGGCTTCATCCACATCAGGACTGAGGACACAGGGGCACCAGGCAGCAGAGTGGTTTCCACTCAAAAGACCAGGGCCAGAGGGACTAGAATTTGGTCCTGGCAGACAGTTGTGGGCAGGGACGGGCTGGGCATGAGGAGGGGTCTTGACCTTGGCCCCTGCCGGTCCACAGCCTTTGCAGAGCTGCAGACAGACATCCACGAGCTGACGAGCGACCTGGACGGGGCCGGCATCCCGTTCCTGGACTACCGCACGTACGCCATGCGGGTGCTCTTCCCCGGGATTGAGGACCACCCTGTGCTCAAGGAGATGGAGGTAGGGTGCGGGCCTCGACCTGTGGGGAGCCGGGAACGCCCAGGACCCCGGGGCTCAGCTGGTAGATGCTGGCAGCGGATCCAGGAGGAGCCATTGTGGGCGGGGCGCCCGGGGCGGGCGGGGCGGGGCGGGCTTCCTGCTTCAGCCCCACATTCTCCGAGGGCACAGGCAGGCTTACCAGCCATGTCCAGCCTGGGTTCCAAGCATTTCCTCAGTAGCTGGGCCGTGCATCCTGCCTCTTTTCTGGGCACACCCGCCGCTCACCTTTGCTGTTTTTTTCGGGACATCCCTGTGTGGCGTGGGGGAGGGGAGGCGCTCAGCTGGACTTGGGCTGTGCGTGAACAGCAGCCACGCTCAGGTTGTTGAGAGTGAGCCTAGAAGTGGGTGCACAAGGCCTCAGGGCCCCTCTGGCCCACGCAGTCAGCCCCGGCCACAGACGGCCCATGCTCGGCAGGCTGCGCCGCCTCTGCCGCCCGATGCACCCCCGCGGGTCCGCTGCGGCATGGACGCTCCCCCGCGTCTGAGGGCCTTGCTGTCACTCTGGCCTAGGCCCTGGTCTGCTTTGGGTGCTTCTCCCTGCCTTTCCATGCCCTGAACTTGATGCATGGCGGCGCGCAGCCTCTGTGTGTCATGTATGCTGTCACATGGGCTGTCTGTCTGCTCTGGGAGGAGAGTGTTGTGTTGGGAGGCACCAGTCAGAGGTCCTGACACAGAGAAGTGGCAGAGCAGGCCCTCTTCCCTCAGAGTGCTCTGCTCCTCAGCTGCAGTTGGCTTCGTGGGGCAGCGTTCTGGCTTCCAGGATTCATTTATTCTGCTGAGGACTGTGAGGCTGGGACTGGCTGCCGGGGCTGTGCAGCCGGGGTGCTGTGGCACCGTTACCTGGGCCTGCCGTCTGTCCCTGCCCTGCCCTGCTGGCCCGGCCTCGCGCTGCCCACCCCGCGGTCTGAGCACGCCCGTGTGCCCCAGGTGCAGGCCAACGTGGAGAAGTCACTGACGCTCTTCGGGCAGCTGCTGACCAAGAAGCACTTCCTGCTGACCTTCATCCGCACGCTGGAGGCCCAGCGCAGCTTCTCCATGCGTGACCGTGGGAATGTGGCCTCGCTCATCATGACCGCCCTGCAGGGCGAGATGGAGTACGCCACAGGCGTGCTCAAGCAGCTGCTGTCCGACCTCATCGAGAAGAACCTGGAGAGCAAGAACCACCCCAAGCTGCTCCTGCGCCGGTGAGCCAGCGGGGGGGGCCCAGCGGGGGGAGAGGGGGACCGGGCCTGTGGGTAGGGGGAAGGCCTAGGCCTCCCCTGCAGACAGCCATCAGTGCTGCCTGGGGGACGGGGGGGGGAGGGGGGATGGGGGGGTGGGGAGTGGGACGGGGGGGGTGGGGAGGGGGACGTGGGGGGGGTCGCTGGGCCCTGTGCGCCTCCACTTCCCCGCCACCAGCAACCGCCAGTGGTACCGTCTGGGCCCGCGCGGTTGTACTTCAGGCTTGGAGTACAGGTTGTACTCCGAGTCCTCAACGCCCCCAGAGAAGCCTGTGCCTGCTGCCCTGGGCTGCGGGGCGAGGGCCAGCTGGGCCTGCGGGGGCCCTGGTGGCAAGGACAACACCATCGCTGTGTCTGCTGCCCTGCAACTTACAGGACCGAATCCGTGGCTGAGAAGATGCTCACCAACTGGTTCACCTTCCTCCTGTACAAGTTCCTCAAGGTGGGCACTGCTGCCTGGGGGTGGGGGAGAACCGGACAGCCGTGGTCTCAGCTGAGCTGCCTGGGCCAGGCCGCCACAAGGGCCCCGACCCTCCTCCCCACCTCCCCTCCTCCCCTTCCCACCTCCTCACCTCCCTCCTCCCCCTCCTCCCCTCCTCCCCTCCTCCCCTTCTTCCCTCCTCCCTGCTTCTCCTTCCCGCCTCCCCACCTCCCCTCCTCCTCTCCTCCACTCCTCCCCTCCCCCCTCCTCCCTTCCTCCCCACCTCCCCTCCTCCCCTCCTCCCCTTCTTCCCTCCTCCCTGCTTCTCCTCCTCCCTGCTTCCCCTCCTTCCCACCTCCCCACCTCCCCTCCTCCCCGCCTCCCCTCCTCCCCGCCTCCCCTCCTCCCCGCCTCCCCTCCTCCCCGCCTCTCCTCCTCCCCTCCTCCCCTCCTCCTCTCTTCCTCATCTCCCCTGTGCAGCCCTCGGCAGACATTTCTGTCCAGACCAAGGGCCTGGCCTGGTGTCTGCCTGCAGGACTTGATCACTGCTGTGCCAGGTACCTGGGACTGGCCACCAGGCTCAGGGTAGCAGCTGGACAGGACTCCCAATGGCCCTGGCCCCTCTGGGGAGTCTCAGGGCTCCCGTGTGCTAGCCGTGAGTGGGGAGGGGGCACTGGCTTCCTCTGCCATCTCTGGAGCCCAGGTGACCGCACCAGCCACACTCAGAGCAGAGGAGGGAAGGGCCGGCAGCGCAGGTTCCTCTTGGCTGCGAGCCCGCGCTGTCCATGGTGAGCGGTGCACCGCTCAGAGCGTGGCTGGCTGGCAGGTGGTCCGTGTCCCCCCCCCCCCAGGTGAGGCCGTGCAAACGTGTGCCTAGGACATGTCCAGCAGGGTGGTGGCCACCAGCGCGACTGGTGCTGTGGCTGTAGCCCGGGACCGCCTCCCTGCTGCCGCCCTCAGCAGGCCGCTGCCGGGGGCTGGCTGGCCTCGTGGAGCACACGGGTCTGTGCACGGAGCGGGTCCCTGGCAGGGCCCCAGGACTGCTGGGAGAAGATGGGGTGGGGCTGCGGGGAGGAGGTGAAGTGGAGGCGGGCCAGGGCCAGGCCCCTGTGCCTCCTCAGAGGGGCGGATGTGGATCTGGCAGTCCCAGGCCCTCGACCGGTTGCCCAGTAAATGCCGCTGCCATTGCTCCAGACCTGCAGCAGAGAGCACAGTTGCATTCCTGTGAAATGCATGGCTCTGTGCAGACGGCCATGCACTTCCACAGGTGTTAACTGGCTCCTGTGAAATGCACGGCTCTGTGCAGACGGCCATGCACTTCCACAGGCGTTAACTGGGGCTCTGAACCCAAGGCAGCCGCGCCGCGCGGGGTTAAACGGCACCAGCAGCTGGTGTGTGCTGTCCCCGCTGACCCCCGTTCTCCACGCCCCCAGCAGCGGGATGCACTTCAGTGCATCTTGGCCAAGGGCCGGCATTGGGTCTGTGCCTGTCTTGTGCCAAGCAGCGGGAGACGGGCCTGCCTCCGAGGCCAGCAGGGCGTCTCGGGCAGCCGGGCCGTGCGGCAGGCCAGGGGTTACTTGGGGCCGGGCTGTCTCATGGGAAAGAGCTGTGTCTACGGAAGCTGAGGCTGTGAGGGGAGGGGGAGGAAGAGGAGGGAGCGACAGGGAGGAGGGCCGAGGAGCACAGTGGCTGAGCTGACCCCGTCTGCCCTCTAGGTCACCAGGGTCCCAGGAAAGAGGTGGGCTGATCGGAGCTCCAAGCGTACTCCGCCTCCGCCTCCTGTGCTGGTGCGCTGCCCGCCGTGCACGTGGAGGTGGCCACACGGGCCTCGCTTCTCTGCAGGGGACGCACTCCTGGTGGTTGATTTCCTCCCTCCCTCCCTCCCCATCTCCGTTCCCCTCCCCCGGCCAGGACCAGGCCTTGAACGGGCTCTTAAGCTAAGCGCTTGCTCATCACTCTGCCTTGTGAACCAAGTCTCTAGTTCAGTTGGGTTTCTTTGGTGCTTCATTGGAGGTAGAGTTTTGGATTTTTCTGCCCTGCTGCCAGTGCCGCCTTTAGGCCATGCAGTGTCCTTGAGAGCCGGTGAGGTTTGTGTGAGACGGCGAGCAGGCGCAGAGGCTTCTGGCTTAGGGAGGGTCTGCCCGACAGCTCTCAGCTCTCGCACGGTGCCCAGAGACGCGCGTCCACCAGGAACTGCACTGACGCTTGAGTGTGGGTCTTTCTCAGCCTGGTGAGAGCAGCGGTCCTGTCTGGAGAGGGGGCAGGGCAGAGCAGCGGGCCGTGGCTCCCGGTCAGCCATGAGGTCACGGCAGTGGGCTCGCCAGCTCGCCGAGCTGTGGTGTTCACGAGGCTTTCTACTGCAGGCGTGGCCTGTGTGCCTCAGCCTCACCGTGCAGGCACCGCCATGCAGTCCCAGATCCCGCACGGTCTAGAGCCCCGGTCTGCCCCCGCTGAGCTCCCGCACTCTCCCCAGGCCCCTGGCCTCACGCGCGTTCTGCCCGTCCCTCGTTACTCTGAGGGCTCCTGTAGGTGGAGTGAGCTAGTGTGTGTTCCTGTGACTGGTGAACAGCCACGTGTCCTTCAGCAGAGGGGATGGGCGGCGGTGGTAGTCCCCGCGCCATGCTTTGCTGTCCTGGGCTTCCGTTCAGAACGGGCATTCTCACCGGAAGTCGTACGAGTGAGCCACTCGTGTTTCAAATTGCGCATCAGGCTGAGCAGCATGTGGAGCGTTGCTCTGGTCCGGACTGACCGGTGTCTGCGCTGTACGGGCTCCTGCAGTGCCCGCCCGGGGGCAGTGGCCTGCCCAGCAGAGGCCGCGCAGGGCCCCCTTCCTCTAAAAGGAAGAGGAAAGAAGGAAGCCGAGCGCTGAGGCCAAGGCTGCCGCAAGAACAAATCTGTCTGAGATTGTGAAGAAGAAAAGGAAATCTGTTGTAGTCTTGCGGACACATAGGACTGTAAACGTTTCGGCAAAGTTGGCGGTAAAGCCAGAGTAATCTGGAAAGGGTTAGGTTTGCAGGCAGTGACACAGACTTACCGTTCTCATTGATGGAGACGGCCCACGCGGCACTGGGCTGAAAGGAGAGATGGCTCACTTGCTTACGAACGGCCTGGACGGCCAGGAAGAGGCTGTGGGCTGAGACCCCCCAGCGTGGGGCTGCTGCTGCCTCAGCCAGGAAGGAAGGAGGGAGCTCTGGCCTGGCCTGCAGCGTGGTGAGCACGGGGCCGCTGTTCTCAGCTCCATCGTCTTCTTCCCTCGAAAAGGCACCATGTCTCATCTTGGCGCACATAACCACCCCCGAGGGGAGCATGAAGAGGCGGGCCTGCCTGTCCCCAGCGGCCCGGCCGGGCCGCGCGCGCTCCGGTCTCTGAATCGCAGGCAGACATCTGTAAATAGAATTATTTTTGTTTAACAAAAGTTGTTTGAGATGAGGTCTTGCTGATTGTCCAGTCTGGTCCAGAAGTCCTGAGCAATCCTCCTGACTCGGTCTCCATGAAGTTGCTGACACTTGTAGGTGTGGACTACTGGGGTTTTGTTTCTTTGGTGTGTGTGTGTGTGTGTGCATGTGTGCATGTGTGTACGTGTGTCCTGGGGCTTGAAATCAGAGGCTGGTCACTGTTTCTTAGCTTTCTAGCTCAAGTCTAGTGTTCTACCACTTGAGCCACAGCTCTACTTAACAGCTTCTTGGTGATTAATGTAGGTAAAGTCTCGCTTTCCTGTCATCTTCAGATTCAGTCTCCTAGTGGCGAGGCTTGCAGGCGTGGGCCACTGGTGCGCTGTTGGTATTTAGAAGGAGCTCTGGTTCTGAGCCTTGGTTCTTGGTCGTGCCACGCGTGTTGCTTTGTACCTCACCCTGGGTGGAGCAGAGCCCCCCTTCGTGAAGGCACGGGAGTTGGCCCTGCTTTCGGGACGTGCATGGTGCTCTGTGTGCGGCGAGTGCTGCGGGTGGTGTCTGCTGACCCGCGCCTCCCTCGGCGCTCTGTGTGCGCTGTCTGTGCTGGTCACGTTCCTGTTGCAGTGGCTTCCCGAGGAGTGAGAACACAGAAGGGCAGCACGGGCTTATTCTGTACCGTAGGACGTCTCACCCTACAGCAAGGGCTGTAGCTCTTGGGGAGCCTCACAGGTGTGGGGGCGCTGGTCTCTGTCATGGTGGCCAATGGGCGGGCACACACTGGTCGCTTGTGGCTTGGTTGTCTTTGTAGGTTGGACATTGTCTCCTGTGTTGATTGCCCACATTTTCCTTTTTTGTGCTGGTCCTAGGGCTCGAGCTTACACTGTCCCTGAGCCTTTGTGCTCAAGGCTGGCACTCTGCCACTTAAGCCACAGCTTCACTTCTGGCCTCTTTTTTTTTTTTTTTGGTGGTTAATTGAAATTAAGAGTTCAACCCGCAACCCTCAGATCTCAGCCTCCTGAGTAGCTAGGGTTACAGGTGTGAGCCACCGGCGCCCGGCTTTTATTTTTCTTCTTTAATGCCAAACTTGGAAACAGATTTTTTTTTATCCTTTACACACACACTTTCTAGGGATATTTCTTTCCGTATAGCGCTTGTTAACACCAGCTTGTCTCTTACGGTGGTGGCGTTAACTGAGGGTGGAGTTGCTCTCCTTTGCCTCTCCTCCTCCCCTCCTCCTCTCGCCATTCGCTCAAACTCCCTGGGCAGTTCCTGCACGCTCCGCTGGACCGCCCTTCCTCCCCTCCTTCCCTAGCACGACCGGAAGCCCACCTGCATGGGGGAAGGGGTCGGTCTTTGATGGAGAGGGGAAGGGGTCGGGCTTCAGTGGAGAGGGGAAGGGGTCGGGCTTCAGTGGAGAGGGGAAGGGTTGGGCTTCAGTGGCCTTTGGTCTGGACCTCCTGGACTGTGTATGGGCTGTGGCTCTTCGTTATCTTGGGCGGTCTGGTGGAGGTCGAGGCTGGCCGGGGGGGGGGGGGGGGCAGCAGCTGGGTCGGGAGCGAGCTGTCTGAGCCCCTGGCGTGGGGCGCGGCCCAGGCAGTGCTCACTCTGGCTTTCAGAGGCTGGGGCTGCATTCCTTTGCCCCTGCCACGTCCAGGCCCAGGAGCCCTGGCAGGCAGGCTGCTATCCTGAGAAACCCCGGCAGACTCTTCCTCCTCTGGTGAGAAGGCGTTTGCAGCAAGACCCTCCGCACCCCTCCTGGCTGACTTGGCGAAGCCTGTTTGCTGGGCGTGCGCGTTGTTGTTGGGTGCTTGTGACTTGGCGAGGCCTGTTTGCCGGGCGTGCGTGTTGTTGTTAGGTGCTGTGGCCCTTCCTTAGCCGCTGTCTGTGTAATTACTGCAGACGCTAACGAGGCTCCGGGCGCCTGGGCCCCAGCAGAGCCGCTGCTGGGGCTGATGAGGCAGGGCTGCCCGACGCCCCGCCCCAGCCCAGGGCTTCCCACCTGAACGGCCTGGGACCCCGGCCCGGGCCCAGTGGGGACTCTGCGGGTACTGCCACCCTTGGAGGCCGGCAGAACCGGTCTGAGCCCAGCCAGCTGGCTCTCCTCAGCTTGCTGAAATGACATGACTCAACAGTTGCCCGGGATGGCTTTTCAAGCTTTCAATGGATCAGCAAATGTTCGGGACCCTGTCCCGGGCGGGCAGGCGTGGCGTGGGTGAGCCGGTGCTCCAGGCTCCCACCCCGGAGGAGGAGGAGGAGGAGGGGGAGGGCGGCCTGGCTGTGTGGACAGCAGTTGCGGAGGCCCGGCGGTAGCCCGGGGCTCATGGCTGCCTCGTGTGGAGCAGACGGGTGGGAAGCAGCCCTCACCCCGCGGTCCGGGCCTTGTAGCATGTGGCTGTGCGCACTGTGCCCTCAGCTGATGAGCCTGTTGGAGGGTGGCATGGAAAGTTCTGGAATCACATCCCGTTTGGCTGGCGGTAGTCACATCTAGCCCCCCACAGCCAGTGGTGGGGGCCTTCTGGGTGCTGTTCAGAGCGCCGCGGGCTGCGGCGGGTGAGGCGGGGTGCCGAGGCTGGCCACGGCGGGCACAGGTCCTGGGAGACCGCCCTCAGGACTGGGGTGCTGTGTCCGTGAGGGCTGCTGTCCCTGGCTCGCGTCCCGGGAGGACTGGGCCGCGCACGGGCCCCCGGCTTGGGAGCAGCCGCCGGCTCACGCACTGCCGCCTGCAGGAGTGTGCTGGAGAGCCGCTCTTCATGCTGTACTGCGCCATCAAGCAGCAGATGGAGAAGGGACCCATCGACGCCATCACGGGCGAGGCTCGCTACTCTCTGAGCGAGGACAAGCTCATCCGGCAGCAGATCGACTACAAGACTCTGGTGAGCGGGCTGGGCCGGCCGGCCGCCCTGTGCTGGGCACGCCCGAGGAGCAGGCTGGAGAGTGGGCAGTGGGGCTGACGTAGCCCCCTTTCCCCCGCAGACCCTGAACTGCGTGAACCCTGAGAATGAGAATGCACCCGAGGTGCCCGTGAAGGGCCTGAACTGCGACACGGTGACGCAGGTCAAGGAGAAGCTGCTGGACGCCGTGTACAAGGGGGTGCCCTACTCCCAGCGGCCCAAGGCCGGGGACATGGACCTGGGTGAGGCCCCGGGCTGACGGGAAGTGGCATTGCGGCCACGCTGCAGGCTGAGTGGCCGGCAGGCCAGTGTGTGCTGACGGGGGAGTGGGACGTGCTGGGGAGCCAGTCTCAAGCCTCCCGGGGCCCCGGCAAGGCCTGGAGAGGCCACAGTGGGGCAGAGAGGGGTCTGGGGTCCTCAGGTGCGGGGGAGGGGGCAGGTGGAAGAGCTCCAGAAAAGAGGCACACTGAGCTGCCCTGGTCGCAGGGAGGCTGGGCTGTTGGAGCCATGGGTCTCCGGCCTCGGCCAGCTAGATGAGGGCTGTAGGAGGCCCCGGAGGGGCTGTGCAGCAGAACCCTGGGGTCCTGTCTGTGGTGCAGCTGAGGGCCTGGGCCAGGGCTGTTGGTGGAGGGGTCTAGGCTGAGGGGCAGCGTCTGGAACCCAGCCCTGAGCCAGAGCAAGGCCAGGATGAACGCCAGGGGCAGGGCCTGCTGCTGAGCGAGGGGTCGGGGCCGACCCTGCGGGGCCAGCACGCAGCAGCTGTTCCCGCCGCCCTCCCCGCTTCCCGCGCTGAGCGAGAGTGGGCCCGCAGGGCTGTGTGGGGGAGCTGGGCCGGCAGTGGGGTCCGGCCCGCCTCCAGCACACTACCCCCGCAGAGTGGCGCCAGGGCCGCATGGCGCGCATCATCCTGCAGGACGAGGACGTCACCACCAAGATCGACAACGACTGGAAGAGGCTGAACACGCTCGCCCACTACCAGGTGCCCGCCCGTCCTGGCCCGGCTCCACACGGGTCCCCTGCCCTCGGGCACCACTGGGCCGGCCCAGGACGGTGCCACGCGTCTGGAGGGGAGGCCTGGGCTGCGGGCGATTTCCCCGCCCAGCCTCAGACACAGCACCTCCAGGCACAGCGCCCGGGTGTCACTTGGTCTCCAGCAGGCGATGGATCGGGCCTCTTGGTAGCATCCTGGTAGTCATGGGTCCCTGCTTCTCTGCCCATAGGTGACAGACGGGTCATCAGTGGCCCTGGTGCCCAAGCAGACGTCTGCCTACAACATCTCCAACTCCTCGACTTTCACCAAGTCCCTCAGCAGATACGGTAGGGGCCCGGAGCTCCAGGGCAGGGGCCCAATTCTGGAGGCTGTGCCTCTCCCTATAGCCTGCCCCTGAATTCTCTGTGCAGACCCCAACTGCCTCCTACCAGCCCCTTGGGGCTGTGCTATCGTCCCAGCTTCATACCAGGACAGGAGGGGCTCGGGCAAGGCGGGGGGGCAGGTCCAGGATGAGGTTCAGGTAGGCACCTGGTGGGGCCACAGCCCAGGACTGGTTCAAGCAGGGGCCCACCGGGGCCTGGCGGAGCCGCTGGCCAGGACGGCTCTGGGGCTGACAGACCCCTCCCTGCAGAGAGCATGCTGCGCACGGCCAGCAGCCCCGACAGCCTGCGCTCCCGCACGCCCATGATCACACCCGACCTGGAGAGCGGCACCAAGCTCTGGCACCTGGTGAAGAACCACGACCACCTGGACCAGCGGGAGGGCGACCGGGGCAGCAAGATGGTCTCGGAGATCTACTTGACACGGCTGCTGGCCACCAAGGTGAGTGTGGCCGGCGGGGCCGGGGGCCAGGCTGAGGGCCGGCCCGCCGCGCCCGGCTGCGTGTGCCGCGCGGCCGCTGAGCCCAGGCGCTGCCTTGCCTGCCGCTGCAGGGCACGCTGCAGAAGTTTGTGGACGACCTCTTCGAGACCATCTTCAGCACCGCACACCGGGGCTCCGCGCTGCCGCTCGCCATCAAGTACATGTTTGACTTCCTGGACGAGCAGGCGGACAAGCACCAGATCCACGACTCTGACGTGCGCCACACCTGGAAGAGCAACTGGTACGGGGGGGGGGGGCAGGGGGGCGGGGAGGGCTGGCTGCCCATCGTGTGGGGCACAGCACTGGCTCACATGTGTGGCACTTACAGTCAGGAGCCCTTGTGCCTTGGGCTTCCCTTCTGGCATGTTCCTGGGCGGCCCTGGCCACCTCTGCCTTTCCAGGACTCTGCAGTGCTGCCTGCTGGGAGGGGTGCCCGGTGCTCCTGTCCGGGCAGGGAGGGCAGAGCTGCCATGGGCAGCCCCGGCTGGTCAGGGTGGCCTGCCCAGGAGCTCTGACACATGGGTGCTCTTGATTCGTGCTGCCCAGACAGCTGTGTCACTGGCCTTACACGGCCCCTGAGTTCTTGGCACCATGTGCCTGGGCGGCCGGTCTGCTTCCAGTGCTATCTCCACGATGCTGTGTGTGGCTGGAGGCTCAGCGGTGGCCTTCTGCGGTGGGTGCAGAGGTGGGGGCTGGGCCTCTGCATGGAGCTGAGGTGGGTCCCGCTCTGGAGCAGGGTGTGGGCCACGCAGGCAGGCTGCAGGGGGCAGGGATGGGGGCTGAGCGCCTCCCGGCCTGCCGGCCACACACGCCTGCTTACCTGGATGTGCTCTGCGAGAGGCACGCCGGAGGGAGGGAGGGGAGGGGAGGGGAGGGCACCTTCCTGAGAGGCCCTACCCACTGTGGGCCTTGACTTCCCCGCTGGCCACGGTCAGGAGAGTTGTCAGGGGCAGCCTGTTCAGAAGGACACAGCCCAGTGGGCTCAGCTGACCGTGCTCCCGCCCACAGTCTACCCCTGCGCTTCTGGGTGAATGTGATCAAGAACCCGCAGTTCGTGTTCGACATCCACAAGAACAGTATCACGGACGCCTGCCTGTCGGTGGTGGCCCAGACCTTTATGGACTCCTGCTCCACCTCTGAGCACAAGCTGGGCAAGGACTCGCCCTCCAACAAGCTGCTCTACGCCAAGGACATCCCCAACTACAAGAGCTGGGTGGAGAGGTGGGCCGCTCGCTGCGGCCGGCAGAGGGGCGGGCGGGCCGGCGGAGCTGGGGTCTGACCCACACCCCGCATCTTCTCTGGCAGGTACTACGCTGACATCGCCAAGATGCCCGCCATCAGCGACCAGGACATGAGCGCGTACCTGGCAGAGCAGTCCCGGCTGCACCTGAGCCAGTTCAACAGCATGAGCGCCCTGCACGAGATCTACTCGTACATCGCCAAGTACAAGGATGAGGTGCGTCCTGGCCCAGGCCGGACACCATCCACGCCCAGCTCCTCCCCTGGCTCTCCCGGCGTCCCTGGCTGTCTTCCTGCCTCTGCCCCGGGCGCTGTAGGACCCAGTGGGGCCATGGAAGGTCCCTGCTAGCTGAGCAGAGCGGGCCGGCCGGGGTGGGAGGTCTGGAAGGATGGAGGTGTGGGCAGTGGCCGGGCGCCAGGCGCCGGGATGACCCGGGACGGGGCAGGCTGTCCCCAGCGGGCAGGCTCGGCCGGGGCCGTTTCCCTGAGCAAGTCGGCCATTGCAGTCTGAGGCGGGACTGGCGGGCCCACTTGCCGATTCGGAGCCGCTGAGGCAGGGTTGTACCCGTGCGGTTCTGGGCCCCTGAGATGAGGGTCAGAATGACCAGCCGGGAACAGAGTTAGGCCTTGAGATCAGGTTCTAGGTTTGAAAGCTGTGGAGCTGTGGGTTCTGGAAGGTTCTGGGACCAAGTTGGAAGTGAAAGTTCTCAGCCCAGGAGAAGGGCCTTGGAGCAGAGGCAGCAGGGACAGGAGGGGCAGCCTAAGCCCCGCCCAGCCCGTGCTCCCGCAGCCAGAGCTGGGCTGGGCTGGGCAGGTTGGGGGAGGGGGGGCTGGGCTGGCTGGCGGCCTCTGGGGCCGGGAGGGAGGTGGAGGCGGCGAGGACCTCTGTGCACAGAGGTCCGGGTCAGAGCCCAGGACGGGAGGTAGCGACCGCATGTGAGGCCCGGGTGTCCGGCTTGGGGAGCCCCTTTCCACAGCGTGGGGCGTGAGGACCAGGCCTCTGGGGTCTTCCCTGTTGACACATCGTGGCACGGTGTCTGGCCCACACTCGGCAGCCCTGAGCCCTGACCTCCGCCCCACAGATCCTGGTGGCCCTGGAGAAGGATGAGCAGGCACGGCGGCAGCGGCTCCGGAGCAAGCTGGAGCAGGTGGTGGACACAATGGCGCTGAGCAGCTGAGAGCCCCAGCAGCCTCCCACTGGAGGCCCGGCGTAAGGGCAGACGGCCTCCCCGCCCCGCGGAGCGCCAGGCAGGGCCCCCGTGGCCTCTCCACCCCTGTCCCAGGGCCCTGGTGCCGGCCTGGCCGCCTCCCTGCCCGGCGGCCGTGGCGGGAGAGGGTGGCGGTCTCCGCAGAGCTCAGAGGCCCGGCAGTGGCTGGCCCGTCCCTGGAGCATCGCGGCCCCTGCCTCCCCAGCTCACCCGCGGGCAGCGTGAGGGTCCAGGGCCTGGCTGGCAGCAGAGGGAGAGGTGAAATGCCCACGGCTGGGCCGGCCAGCTGCGGCCTGGGCCGCGCCCCGGCCTCCCGTCGGCACCTGTGCCAGCGCTCGGCCATCACCCTGAGATTCACCGCGTGCTCCGCGCGCCGGGGCCAGCATGCCACGTCCACCGGGGGAAAGGCTGCTCCTCCCGTGGAGGGTGCAGATGCCACTCCCCAGAGACTGGTGGGTGGACTGGGCAGCCCCTCTGTCCTCAGGGCTGTGCCTCTGGGGGCCCCCGGGTCACAGAGCGCATGTTCCCCTTATTTATTCCCTCGCCGCCTGCCCCCGATGCAGCCCTGTGCTGCCCACAGAGCTGGCCGGCTGCCTGCCCCGTCCTCTCCCCGGCCCTTCCCTTCTGTCTCTGTCCTCTCCTCTTCCTCCTCTCTGTCTCCTCCTGATCGCCACCTCTGTCCCACGTGGCTTGCTGTCTGGCTTCTCAGTGGCTTCCAGGCCCCTCCGGAACAGTGCGACTTAGGGGGTCGTTTTTGGTTAAAGGGGAACAAGAAATCCTGCTGTACTCCGGCCGAGGGGCAGGGCCTCTCGGGCACTCCCTGGATTCACGTGGACCACAAACGGCAGCCATAACCCAAGGGGCTGGAGATGGGCTGCTGACCACCCTCGCCCTCTGTGAGCAAAGAACAGATTTTTAATGAAACCCGAAACTCCTGTACATATATATATATGTGTGTGTATATATATGTGTGTATATACATGTGTGGCTCTGGCATCATCTCCAGCCCCAGTGGGGCCCTGTACAGCTACTAGAGGAGAGGACGCTGCAGCGCAGAGCAGACCAAGCGGAGGGCACGCGGGTGCGGCGGGGGAGGAGCGGCCGCCCCGCCCAGCCCCGGCTTCCGCCCTGCGCAGGGCCCGTGGATTTGCATGATCGTGCTAGAGTTTAGTCTGGGTTGATCTTTTTCAAACTGCAAGTGTTGAATACTAGAGGTGGTTAGACCCTTTTTTATGTTTTTTAAATTAATCGGTAATCACTTGTCAAAGCAAACAAGTGGCTCTTCCCCTTTTCCAGGTCACTTTTTCAATGGTACTCAATCTTCTCAATGGGCTTTGAGGGACAGCTAACTGGCCAGCCTTGGGATCTGGCCCCTGTAAGCGGTGTGGGTCCGAGGGGGCGTCCGAGGTCAGCCTAGAGCTGCTCCCGCACGGGGTTGGTGTGAGATCGGTGAACTTCGGACTCAGGGAGTTCCTGCTCTGGGCGCTGCGTGGCCTGTCCCCAGGGTCCCGCGGGCGTCCAGCGCCCGGGCTCCGCAGCCTGGGAGCGGGCTGGTCTCTGCAGCCCCTGGTGTGGCCTGGGACCCCTGTGTGCCCCCTCACGTCTCTAGGCTGGGACTGGGTAGAGCCTCCGTTTCCCCCAAAGTCTTCCCTGGATGCTGGCTTCGAGTTGAAGCCCCCGTTCTTCCAGCTCTGCCTCGGCCACGCAGCAGCCTCTGGGCTCCCGAATCACTTCAGAACCCTCCCTGCCCCCTCTCAGGCCTCCACAGAGAAGGGTGGCCTCCTTTAGCCCTGGCAGCTGCCCTGTCCGCGTGGTGATGCTGGGCAGGGGCGGTGGGTGCCCGCCCAGCCTAAGCAGCCCCACAGGGCATCTGTCTGAAGCACTTTAGCATCCTGTTTACATGTGAGTTGATCCAGCCACCGCTGCCCGGCTCCCGCTGCACCCGCCTGGGCCTGGGCTTGTGTGTCCTCACCCTGTCCTCCTGGCCCAGGTACCCTGCAGGCTGGGACAACACTGGATGGCCTCCGGCTTGTGTTTCTTGGGGGCTGGGCATGAGCGTGTTGTGCTCCAGGTGGTAAGACGCCGTGGGCCCCTAGCAGCCCCGGGGTCCCCGGCCCACCTGGCACAGCAGAGCTCTGCTGCCGCCTGCAGCCTTAGGCCCCGCCCCTTGGAGTCCCTCCTACCCGACCTGCTGTGCCCCAGCACCCAGCTCAGGCCTGGGCCTTGGTCTGGACACTCGGCCTTGAGACCTCGGGCCTACTCTGCCGCCCCACCTGCCTGGCCTGCCCTTTGGCCTGAGGAGCAGCGTGGGGAACAGAAGAGGAGCCCGGGGTGCCCAGGACACAGCCTTGAGTCCCAGGCATGGGCCAGTGCCCCCAGGCCTCTCTGGTCCCCCTGCCAAGGGTCTCCGGTGCCCCTGCCCGGATCTGACGGCTCATGTTGGTGCTACACAAGCTAGAATAGATATATTTAGAGAGAGAGGATGATATTTTTAAGACAAAGGCCACCGTTAGCTTTCCTTTAACTCTATAGAACCCCCAAAAGAAGAACGGCCCTTGGACGGTCTGAGTGGACCGAGTGTGGCCAGGTCCCGCTGGAGGCCAGAGCTGCCCGGGTCCAGCCTGCAGAGTGTACATACACGGCTATTTCATATTTTACTGTTCTTCAGATTTAGTACTTGTAAATAAACACACATTAAGGAGAGATTAAACATTTTTGCTACATGCTGGCTGTGCGTCTTGCTTGCTGGGAGGTGTGGCGGCGGCTGGGACGGCCCGCAGCTCCCGCTCAGTGGGCAGCGGTCAGCTGTGGCCCCCGTGGCACTGGACTCGTGGGTGGCTGCGGCTGTGACCATGTTGCAGCAGACCCGGGTGACAGGTCTCCGTCCTGGGCAGAGGCCCTGGTGGTGGCATGCGCAGAGCCACGCACCGCTGCGTGGGAAGGTAGAGCCGCGGCCTGAGCCTCGGTCAGGGGCGGCAGGAGCTGGCGGTGAACAAGCTTGGGTGTCCAGGCTGCGGTGCTGGGGTCCCCTGGAAGTGGGCCCTGGGCGGGGGGTGCCTGGGGGTCGGCCTCGGCCTCGCTGCCCGTGGGGCATCGCGCAGCCTCTCCTGGCTTGTGGCTTTTGCTGTGGTTCCACTGCGGCGGGTGGGCTGTGGCCCCCTGGGTCCCCGGGGTGCACGCCCCCTGGCAGGCCTGGCCAGGACGGTCCTGGGTGGCTGGCGCTGCCCCGGCAGGATGGGGTGTCCAGGCTGCACTGTCTGCACACGGCCCAGGGCCACCTGGATGTTGGGAGGGAGGCCAGGGCCCCGGGAGGGCTGCGTGTCTCCACCCGCCTGGCCTAGGTCTGACAGCAGCCCATAAATCATCGTGTTTCCTGCGGCAGCCGGGGCTGCTGTTACTAAAAAGAAGTGCGCGTAATCACCACAGAGTTGCGTGGGAAACAAGTTCAGAGAATGTGGCCCTGTTTGGGGGTGATGCGGCCTGTGCTGGGGCTCAGTGCACCCACCCCAGCTTTCCAGCATAATCAGCCCTGCCTCAATTACCCTCGTTAAGGAAGTCCTTGAAGGCTTTGGCCGCCGCCGCCTGAGCCCAGGGGCCTCGCAGAGCCGCAATCAGCTCCCCAGCACCCAGGCGATGAGACGTGATTGAGCCGGAGCCGGATCTGATTGCTGCACGCGCAGCGCGGCTCCTCGGCACCAAAACAGCCCTCCGAGCTGCCGTGAGCAGAGCAGCGGTGACAGACAGCCGCGGGGCCTCGGGGCGCCCCAGGCTGCACAAGGACAGAACCTAGGCCCGGCCCCGGCGGGCGGAGGCGGGTGCCATGGGCCTGTCCAGCAGTGGAACCCCGGGCAGCATGGGAGCCAGTGCCACGTGGGCCAGAGGGAGGGGGAGAGCTTTGTCACACTGGACTCAAGGCCTGAGGAACACAAAAGCCGGACAGCCGCTCTGAACCCCCGGGCAGCGGGCAGCCAAGCCCTCACCTGAACCCCCGGGCAGCGGGCAGCCAAGCCCTCACCTGGCCTTGGAGCCAGCCTTGCAGGGGGCCCACCAGGGTGCAGCATGTGGGGGTCAGCGTGCACCTCAGAGGACGGGCCGGTCTGAAAGCATCTTCTGGTGGTCTGAGCTCGCGCCAGCCTGAGCGTCACCACCACCTGGCACTGCGGTTTGAGAGGCCTGATATTCACATGATGGCTCGCTCAGCTGCCCCGGATCTGAACTCACACCCGGTGCCCGGTGGCGGGGCGGCTCCCCTCCCTTGCCAGCCAGCTCCCGCCGTGGAGCCCCAGCCCCACAAGCCAGGTCTGGAGGCCGGGCCAGGCCGGGCCGCTCAGCCAGGGGCTGAGCAGGCCAGTCCTCCTCCCAGACAGCCCCTCCGGCCTGGGCCTGGTGGTGGCTTTTTCTACCTCATTCCTGTCTTTACAGTTTCCTGGGGAGGTGTGTGCGTGCATGCGTGTGTGTATGCGTGTGTGCGTGTGCGTGCTGCGTGTGCGTGCGCGCATGCGTGTGCGTGTGTGCATGTGAATCTTTGTGACAGGAGACGCTGGGCACCAGGCAGCGGGCGGATGAGGCAGGGGCAGTGGAGAGGTCTGTGTCCACACCACAGGGGTTAACGGCCGCACAGCTGTCTGCCATCTCTTCCCTGGGTGCTATCCATGCTCCACTGCTGAACACCCCCATCTTCACAGGGCCCCGCAGCCTGCACCCCCCAGCCTGGCATGCACCACCCCTCCCCCGGCTCCCCCCCTCAGCCCGACCTGTACCCCCCTTCCCCCAGCCCAGCCTGCACCCCCCCTTCTTCCTGCTCCCCCTCAGCCCAGCCTGCTCCCCCCCCAGCCTGGCCTGAGCCCCCCTCCCCCCAGCCTGGCCTGCACTCCCCTCCCCCTGCTCCCCTCCAGCCTGGCCTGAGCCCCCCTCCCCCCAGCCTGGCCTGCACTCCCCTCCCCCCGCTCCTCCCAGCCTGGCCTGCAGACCCCCCCAGCCCAGCACGTGGGCTGCGGCTCAGACCACACGCGTGTGTCAGTGCATGCCATTGCTTGCAGGACCCTCCCGCCAGTCCCAGGGGCTGACTCCTCACGACATCCGGGCAGGTACCTGACCAGTTCGGAATGGCTCCTTTGTGGTCACCCTCTGAGGGGTTGGGCCTGACACGCACGGGCCCGCTGCCCTGTCAGAAAGCCCAAGTCCCGCAGCCACCTCAGCTCCCTTCCCCGCTGGGCTTTTGGGGCCCTGCTTGTGCTTGTTGCTGTCATTGTCCTTGATGGGGTGCGACCCTGCAGACTGCTTCACCCCACCAGCCTCCCTCCAAGCCGGGGTGTGGCTCCGGTGGTGGAGGCTCCGTGGCCAGGCACTGGCACCCAGGCGGCCCGACTCCAGGGGTGGGAGTGGGAGGGCACCTGCATTTTAAGGGCTAACTCTCCACCACTGTGCGCCGCCACTTCAAACCCATCCTGCCAGCCCCGCCCACTGCACACGCTGGGGGGGGACGGGGAAGGGGAGGCTGGGCACTGTGCGCCCCCACTTCAAACCCATCCTGCGAGCCCCGCCCACTGCACACACTGGGGGGGGACGGGGAAGGGGAGGCTGGGCACTGTGTGCCCCCACTTCAAACCCATCCTGCCAGCCCCGCCCACTGCACACGGTGGGGGGGCAGGGGGGGCTGGGCACTGTGCGCCCCCACTTCAAACCCATCCTGCCAGCCCCGCCCACTGCACACGGTGGGGGGGGACGGGGAGGGGGACTGGGCACTGTGCACCCCCACTTCAAACCCATCCTGCCAGCCCCGCCCACTGCACACGCTGGGGGGGCGGGGCTCCATACCTTCCCAAGGCCTCCTAGGGCTCCCAGAGATCAGAGGTTGGCCACAGCCCCAGTGCTAGGGGGCTGGAGGGGGCTGTGGGCCTGTGCCCACCGCCTGGCATCCCAGGGACCCCCAGGGGCCCCCAAGGTCCTCCTGGGGGGCAGAGCTTTTCATGCACCACTATCAGGGTCTTTTGCAAGTAAAAGCTTTTAGCTTTGGTGACAGTTGGTCTCCTAGCTGTGGGCTATGGGCATCAAGTCCAAGAGCCCTTTGTCCACCCTTCATCCTGGTGATTTTCTGCTGTTGTTTCTCCTTAGAGTTTTATAATTTGTCATTTTACTTGTAAGTCTGTGGTCCATTTTGATTGAATTTCATATCACACGAGGTTCCGTGTGAGGCTTGTTTTCTTGTAGTGATCATTTAAGAACAGCCTAGCAGAATACCTTCTAGAACAGCCTTGGGTTTGCAGGAAACTTGTGCAGAGTACAGGATCCCCATACAAACTGCCCCTCACAAACACAATTCTGTATCCTGCACTTGAGCGGTAGACCGGGACAATTAATGAATCAATATCGATACATTATGATTAAATGAAGCCTGTAGTTATACTTAGTGCGCCTGGTGCTGTGGGTTTAGGCAGACACCAGTGTGCTGTGTCCGGATGGCAGCATGGCCCAGAAACTGCCACGGTGTGCTGTGCTTGTCCAGTTCCTGCCCAGGTGGTGGGGAAGAGCAGCTCACTGTCACCCGCAGGGTCCCAAAGCCAGCAGTGAGACTTCCCGCCACCTGGATTCCTGGTCACCCGCCAGCCCAGTCCTTTCCAGCCGCGCCCCCCAGCCACACCTCACAGTCAGGAGCCTTCATACAGTCTGGGTGTTGATCTTTCTGCACTTTTATCTGTTGTAGAGAATCTCTCCATCCGTGGACTGTCATTTCACCTTTGAACAGGGCTTAGGTGAGTAAACGTCTTCCTTTTAATAATATTAGCTTTGTCTGTTTGTTTGAGGGTTCTCTTTTTAGAGTTAAGACGATTAGTGCACATTAGTTGTGCAAGGGGGGTTTCCTTGTGATATCTCCACACAAGGACACAATGCACCCCACCCACCGCACCCCTCCCCTCCCCCGGCCCCTCCCCCTCCTTGAAACAATTTCAGCAGGTTTTATTGTTCCGATGTCATACTTGCAAACAGACGACTTGGACCCCATTGCGGTCGGTCGGTCGGTCGCCTCCCGCTGGCACCCACCCCCAACTGGTCCGACTGGCCCGCGTTCCGGCATTCACCTTCAGTGCCTGCGAACGGCGCAGAGGCCTTGCCGGGTGAGGCTGCGTGCGGTCTCACTTTGCTTGCTGTGCGCCTCTAGGCACGCTCTTTCCCTGTCCCTCCGCCACTTCCGGACACCCCGCCGTCTGCTCCTTTGCCTCCTCTGGTCTCCACTCCGGGCTCCTGTCCTCAGTCACTACTGGCGTGAGAATTCCAGCCCTGGTGCCCACAGTTCCTCCTCCCTCTTTGTGGGGACCAGGTGCTGGCCCAGGGATGGGGTGGGGGTGACAGTCGTGGTGCACTCAGGGACCTCCAGAGGTCCCCCGCTAGCCACGGCGTGCGTGGGCCCGGCCACCGTCCCTGCAGGTGTCATTCCCGATGGCGGAGGGGCGGCTGCCCCCGGGGTGATGTGGCTGTCCCAAGCTCCGGCCGAGGGCCAGCAGTGGCCGGGACAGAGGCCCCCGCCGCGCACCCCACGCTGACCTACATTCCCTCACACCAACCTTGGAGCATCCCCAACTCCTTCGGCATCTTTCTCTGAAGGCCGTTGCTGGGCAACGGTTGCTAGGTAAAATTCATTGCTAATGAGGAGTCAGGGCTCTGGGTCAGAGGCCGGAGCGCTGCACACTGAGGCTCCAGCATGAGGACAAAATGGCAGCTTG